CAACTCAAATGATACTAAATACCACTTTTAAAACAAAAATGCAACATTATTGTTCCCCCATCAGCATCAGAAGCACTGAAAAATCCTAGAGACATTTTACAGTTGTGCTACTGATTATAAAACTATAACACAGAGGCTCAGGAGATATCAGTAAGGTGCGTCACAGCACAGGAAACAAGGGGGCAGTCCGCGGAGTGTTTGTCTTCAGTGGAAAAACAAATAAAAAGACACCATTTTAACCAGAGCTGAATCCACACTATGAATCTCCACTCTGAACAGAGAGTGGTCACTTGATCGCCTTCGGAAAAAGTCCTGGCATCTCTGGCGTCCACTCATAAAAACACCATAAAGCTCTCAGCGCATGAAGTGAAACAGCACTACAGCTCTGCAAAAGCCACGCTCGCTCTATTGGTTACTGTCAGAATAAACACGAAATGAATGGAGGCATTTCAAAACAACCAGATTATGGTGCAGTTCGTCGATACACTTGCGTGTTTCGTCGAACAAACACTTAATAGTGGATTTGTTTTGTAAGAATTAAAGGGGCCTCTGCAGGTGACTTGCGGTTTGTGGTACAATGCAGAATACAGTACTAACATGATTAAAGGGTGGATCTGATAGCAGCTGCACAGAAACATATCCTTGAAGAATACCGCACCCAACGAATGACCTCATGAAGCTCCACGGCCGATCAATCTGAGACGCTGAAGTAAACTTTGAAATTCCCTAGCAGGGCAACTCTAACCTGTCTTGAGCTGCTGACCAGACCATTACTTAAGCTGAGCAAGTCCTATGGGGAGTTTGTATAATCACCGGTCTGTGGAGCTAATGGAAGCTCATCATACTGTGAGGGGTGCAGTCACACTGACCATATATCTGCTCAGATAATGGCTACTTGGCCTTAAAAGTCTGATCTACAACATAATCTGCAATATTGTTAAGTAGAGTGTACATTATGGAGAGTGACGCTTTCAAAATCCCATTACGCCCTAATCCTTCCACACTCCCTAATGTATTACCCACAATCCTCCACGCGCAGAGCCAGGCCTTCAAGACAAACAGAAAAGCTTTTCTTTTATCCCTTTTCAAGAAAGCATGTCTTATCTGATCAATACACATCATGTCCCAGGAGATGGATGAGAATTACTGCTCAGTAGATGTGGACCAACCGAGTTATTCTCCTCTTTGCTGACTCAATTAAGTGGATCAAAGGTTTGGCCTGAGCGTGGCCACAACTTCTTCCACTGTCACTGTGTCTCACCAAGGCAACAACGTCCACTCTCAGTCAGTTATTCAAAACTGTGACTGACTGTTGGACGTCATCGTCCTGTATTCTTCCTCAGTGATGTGCACTTACGCAGGTATGCATTGTTTGGTCTTTTATCAACAGCGTGGGTGCAACTGGGAACACTGGCGGCCTCTGACATCATGATCCAAACAGAGAAATGACCAGCTTCTCCATATGTCTGACTCCACCTGCAGCCAAAAACAGTGAAATATTGAGACACACTTCCCTTAAAAAGCACATAAAACCGCATGCTGTTTTCATTTGATCCCATCTGAAATGACATTTCCTTAGAAGCATCCATAAAATTACTTTTTTCATCCACTACTGCTGTTTTCCTCTTGGACTGACTATAAAAAGAAAAGTCTCTTCCCATCTCCCTCTGATGGTTTTTAACGACCCCTATGAAGCTCACGAGCACCACCTAGTGTCTGCAGACTTAAAGTGCGTCCCTCTGTCCCCTCGTCATCTCCAGTTTCAGGCCCCAAAAAACATGCATTACACGCTCCTATTGATCCACTGTTGGGATGACATACTAGCTATCACTTGGAGTGTTTTTTCAAAGGGGAAAAGGAAATCAATAGCAGCACAGTCTGGTTAGAGACCTCAACATTGATCTAGGAAGCACAAGACCAGACCTCTGAGAGGGCAAGAAAAAGCACCAGAGGCTTGTCATGTTGCGACCGGATCTCCGGCACCATGTTTACAGGTGACCCCCAAATGGAAGACTCTGCCCCGGTGTCTTGTCAGTCCTGATTGTTAATAAATATGGCAACTGTCTCCTCCGGTTAACATCCCAGCTGAGGTTTCCACAGGACGTGTAGCTTTGAAGCTTTAATGAGCCCTTTTCATCAATATTAGAATGTCAGGTCTTATTAACCCCAAAAAGGCTCCTGATCGATACCCGGCGAGGTAGTTTAAGGGAGGGCATCACTCAGGTCCAGAAGCAGGTCAGGATTACTCCCACAGCCCTGTAAATAATCTCACAGACTGCTGATGCAATCATCGGATGCCACCACACTATATTATGTCTGGAAACAAGAGCAATACACTCCCACAGGCAGAGTAAACAGGAAACAAATCAGCATTTTTTGAATTAAAAGCTGGTGTGATTGTTATTGATGCTTTATTAGGAGTTTTACCTGCAAAGAGTTGCATTCCTGGCCTGTGATTCCACTTGCACAGACAGGGTGAATTTAGTGCTGATGACTGCAGACGCATTGTTGTTGTTGGGTTTCACAGTGACCAAAGGCTGGTACACACACTGAGAGGTAAAAACAGGTGAAACACTGACTTAATGTGCTTAAAACCATCAGAAAGTCTGTAGACTGTAGAGCAAGGGGGGCCCCAAACAGTTTCAGGGCAAGCTCAGTGAATGGAAGTGAAAAAATATTACATTAGTTAACAAAAAAATGCCTAAATGTGTATAATCAGAAAACACCTCATAGGACAGACCTTTTTATACATTTGAAGTCTGAAGTTATGTCGACAGCAATATGAAGCTATTTTGGCTCCATTGTTTGATCTATGGGATCAAATAACACATCCATGATCTCATAGGCATCCAGGAACTGAGTGAAGCTCAGCAAAGGGGAGGATGAGGGGCTCATTTTTCCAATGTTGTCTGAGGGGAGGCCTACAGTGTCAGACCTTTAAAACCCCTGGACTAGACCAATGGTTGGGAAGACAAATCTGATCAGGGTCAGGATGATAAGAGGTATAAGGATTCAAGGATTTAAAGGTTTATTTGTAATATATGTAGTGAAGTGCAATGTTAAATGCTCCTACGGTTGTGCTAAATTCTCTTAAACCCTAAAAAAACAACAAAAAAACACTGATTTTATGCATGAATTTACTCGTCATGAAGAGTACTGCTCAGTCTTTCTAAATAAAATTGCCTCTAAAGGGAGCTTTCTAAAATCTAAAATCTGAGGAATTAAACGTGAAGACAACATCAGGGATACTTTGACTATTAAACAGGAAGACACAGGCAATACTAGGTCTAAAAAGATGTTACTGCGTTGTGTTGCATTATGGAAAACGTCGGATCAAGTGTTTTTAAAACTTGACTCACACAAGGGACCAAACGTCAGGATATCACAGATTTTAACTATAAACAAACCTGACTTTACAACTCTGACCTGCTCTGTGTGCATCACTATGAACCTCTCAAAACTCACAAATCCATCCATCTTTTGACAGAGACACTGCATATATATATATTCTTTACCTTATAGCAGTAATCTGACGTATAGAAGACCTGAACTTCTTCTTTCAGCTGGTTATGAAACGTCAACAAAGCCTGGTCCATTTTCAGAGCGAGTCCTGCATAGATTTAAAGCAGCAGTGATTTACAGCTGGCACACAAAGCTTTCTGTACATCATAAATATAAAGATAGCAGAAGGGTGTATAACATCACTATCATCATCAGGATCATAACACGCACTCAATACTATTGATAGAGTACGTTCTCACACTGCTGACATAATTGAATTTGAACCTGCATTGGTCGTAAACATTGATTGTTAACAAGATAAACTAAATAAGATTAAGAAGAATCTCACATCAAAATCTTCACTCCAGAAACACTTTTGACTACATGAGAGTTTAACACCAGAATGAAACCACATCTGTCACTAATGAACCCTAGAAGACTTACTTGATTTGAAGTGTCCTCCACAGCTGCTGGTTACAAGGAATATCAAAGTTAGACTTGCTTGTAGCAGCAGTCTCCTGGGCTCCATGTTGCTATTTGAAAACAGCCACTTCTACTGCTCATCTTTATAACTCTCACACCAATATAAAAAGTGGTCAAAGGGCAGCATGCATGCGTTTGTGGTTCCTTTTTTTCTTTTGGTTTGTGATGATGTATTTGTTTGGATTCACCTTTGGAAGCAAAAATTTGTCAATTAAGTTAATTATAGATGATGAATGAAAGAAGAAAACAGACACTTCACAAGTTTAAAAAGCTGAAATAAGTGTGTGTATTAATGTAGAGGTCAGAGGGATAAACTGCATTTCCAAACACAATTTATACAGCCATTTAACTCCAATCTCAGCAAGCATGAAAACACAACAAAACGACACCAACTGGTATGAGCATTATGTCATTTAATCCTCTGGAGCAGGCTGTAAGCGTTTCAACAACAGAACATGATTTATTCCATAATTCTGGAAATCCTCGTGTTAATCTTGCGTGTTGATCTAATCATCTAATGCTTATCTAATGTTTCTGTTCTAAATCTCAGCAAAAACACTGAAGCACTTTCTCATTTCCACATGCAGCCAACTGTAAAAGCCTGATCACCTGTCACATCCTCTCCCTCAACCTCATTTCATTAACCAGTTCATTTCCCTGAGCGCTCGCTGTGACAGATGAGTTCACCGTGGGGGCAATCTCACAGGAGCAGCTCATTAACCTTTGACATGAACCCCAGTCAGCTGAAGAGCAGAGCTGGCTTTTTAAAATCTGCTGTCCTGTTGAACAGAGACATCATTAATACGTGTGTGCGCATACAATATAAAGCAGATAATTAAAGAGTGTCAGCAAACACTGCTGCACTGGCCTTTGTGTTGAATCCTGCCACTCTAGCTGCCCTCACACATGCCTTGCGCAACAGATGACAGTTTATGATTAAACCCATGCTGACAGGTGTCTGAGTAACCTATCAGCAGAGAGGATTTCTGCTCAGGCTTCTGCAGGGGCAGCTGAGCAGGACCTACTCCGCCTCATGTGTCGGATGGATTCATTCCAGTTGCTCTCACTGGCTGCCACAACAGATTTGCCTCTGGAGCTGGAGCCGAACCTCCTCTGTGCATAAATAAAACACACTCTCTGCAAACATGGTGAGTACACAACCTCTTTGCGGTGTGTGACACAGGGCTGCTCACTCACCTGTTGCCATTTAACTCTCATAGTGTAAAACTCCACTAGTCTTAATGCAGATGTATACATTTACTTTAATGTGCCAGTATGAATTTGCAGGGATATGAAGCTTTGTGTGTGTGTGTGTTAAGCCACTGTGTGTGTGATGAATAGACAAGCTTTAAGCCTGTGGGTATTGTCTGTTCGCTCCACTGATAGAGCAGATTACAGCGTTGCTATGATACCTGTTGATGTCATTGCTCTGTTTCAGGCTGTGGCCGTGACATCTGTTTGCTCTACTGTTGGTCTATAAGCGTGGACACTCATCTGGGGACAAAGCCTCCTGATTGTGCAATAAAGTCAGATATATCTATTTGGGGGAAATGTTGTGAAAATGTTGACAGTGCAGTTTAGATAGTTTAAGGGGTCATGGAGTGAAATGAGCATAAACTTTAAATCCATGTGACCCAGCATCACGTGTCAAGATTAGGAAATGAGTGACCAAAAGGGAACCCCCCCTCCCCCCTCCTCCCTCCTCCCTCCTCCCACTACCACCAGCACATACCTTTGAACCAGCTAGTTTTTAAAAAACCAGGAATGCGGCTTTTCATTGTTTCCAGATGGGATCCGATGTAACCAATCACAGTTTGTGTTTGTGAAACTGCCCCCTCTCAACACTGCTGTACTGTTTCTTCTGCTCTGTCCCACCAGGCTGGTAAAATCCAGAGTCTGACGGATGAGGAGAGGGCTCACCTACTGCCGCTGCTACGCAACGCTCAGTGGGTGGAGGTTGTGGGACGGGACGCCATTTACAAAGAGTTTATTTTTAAAGATTTCAATCAGGTTTCTAATTTATTTTAACCCACATAACTAGCACACTACTGTTTGTTATGTGTGTGTGATTTCAGGATGTGATGCTCTTTCCTTTCAGGCTTTTGGCTTCATGTCCAGAGTGGCTTTACAAGCAGAGAAGATGGACCACCATCCTGAGTGGTTCAATGTCTATAATAAGGTAGAAAAGACTCATTAGTGAATACAGTAAAGCTCAATATTATGACCTTATACTGAAACTTCAAATTCATTCATTTCTTAAATAATATAATCCACATTTATCTGTATAATCATCAATAAAGAGCCATTTTCTTATTTTTAAGGCAGACAAAGATGTTCTCTTGCCAAAGCACTGTTATAATAACTAAAGATGGATGATTCAACACAACTTTACACACTTACACAGATAGTCAAACTAAACTAAGCTTCAATTCGACACTTTGACACTGCTATAAGCCTTATCTTTATATGAACAATGGACCAAATGACTGTGTGAACTCAGAAAGAGTTTCAGCATCTTTCAGCTTATTATTCCGTCTTATTTTACAACCTGCAGCTTTACTGTTTAACTTTTCTTTACTCTTATCACAATCTCTTTCAGACACAGCATGCAGTAGTTCTGAGCCAGAAGCTCTGATACAGTCATTGTGCACAATCTGTCCAGCACCAGACAGACAGACAGACAGGCAGACAGACACAGTTAACAACCAGCTGGTGAACATAGTGGAGCATTAAGCAGCTGAAGAGCCAGATATTGTGAATATTGGACTTACATTTATCGGGTGGCCGGGAACACGACTCCAAATGAATGCTGCTCTGCGTCCGCTAACATGTTCACAATATTAACTGAGGTGATATTGTCAGTATTGTTGCTGTTGCTCCCAAGTGGCCAATAAAATCAATAGACCTTTCTCACTGCAGACATTTTGACATGAATTAATAGAATAAACACACCAATGATACTAATTAATGTTCAAACAGAGTCAGGCTGCTGCTACTGTGCATGTTGGCTCACTGCAACTACACTAAATGGAACAGAGCCTTAATTAGTATTATTTGTTACACCTGTGTTTACTGACTGTTTCATGTCAATGAATGCAAGTTTAAAATACTTTCAAATGTTGAACCTTTCTTCATATGGTTAAATGTGGATATAGGTCTTCCTAATCTATTCAATTTTTAAATTTGAACTTTATAACTTCTAAATTTTTTATATTTAACATCAGTGCTGGTTATTTTTAACTCACTTTCCTTGCTTACCTTTTAACATCTTTACTGGTTTAATCAATATCCAATGACACTTTCACTGCCTTCCCCTCTGCTGACACGTCAACTGCTTTTATCACTTTAATTTAATGTTGTTGGAGGCAGGGATAGATATGTGCTTTTATTTCATCTGTTACTGTTTGTCAGTGAGAAGCCTAGAGTGGTTAATGCCATTATAAAGTTGGCTGACACTATCTGAGATGCACTGAAGAACCATCTTTAAAGCAAACACACTCAGATTCACTTGAGGCAGATTAGCCTGTTCTTTTCATATGATAACATTTGCCTTTGCCCCCCCCAGGTCCAGATCACTCTCAGCACACATGACTGTGGGGGGTTGTCCCAGCGCGACATCACTTTGGCCACCTTCGTTGACCAGGCATCACTGATGTGAGCAGCACACATTATCGTTCATTTCCACGGTGAAGAGCTGTAAGTCACAGATCTACGCTGACGTGACCTCCAAATCTAAACAATATGAACCAAATACTGTCAATGTATCGTGAATAAAGGGTCCAATGTGTGTGTTAAGAATATAGGGGAACGGTAAAATAATGTTTATGGATTATTCAACTAATTCCTCAGCAACAAGTTATTACAGTTAACATTGACAACAGTACATGTATCCATCTGTCTGTGCCAAATGTTTTTTGTATTTACTGTCAGTAAATGTTATTTTCTCACTCAAACTCTTATTGTCGTCACTGAAAAATGAAATGATTCCTCTCATCGGACTGAATGCATTTTATTTAAACACAACACTTTTAGACATCTGCTGTGGTCAGGAGGTCAGGACTATAACCATGTTAAATGCTTTTAACAGTGTTCACTATGGGTCATTTTAACATAAGAAACCAGCAGGTGATTTCCTAACTTAAAATAAATCTGTTACACAAGGACGGTCTGACATGAGATTTAACAAAAATATGTGAACCTTTGTACATTCAGAACCTCACATGATGTACAACGGTGGACAAAAGTCAAAAAGACCTGATAACATACAATATAATGCAATCAATTACTTCCCAAAAAAATACCAGCATGTTCTTTACAAAATTAAACATTTTAAGACTGATGTAAGGATGCATTTGAGTGCATTACATGTTAAAGCTCCACCCTGTGTATGTCTGAAACACCAACGGACCTTAATGATGACAATGTTATGAAGCCAATTCCCTGAAAATCTGCTTTAACGTCATGAGTTCAAACCTCTGAAGGCACAGAGGCTCATTATTGCTACATCAATGTCACCAAACAGCAACGACACAAACACAAATTCAGATTTTCTCTGCAGAATCTGATAGCTTAAAGAGGAATTTGCATTAAAGGTTTTTTTATTCAAAAGATTTCTCGGCCATTCAATCGTCACAATTTTTTGCAGATATTTCTCCAAAGCAAACAGTTGTTTGTTTTTTTGCACGTGCGTGGGTTTCCACACCCCGTCACTGGGCAAAGTATTTAAGGATGAATGGATGGATGGACACATGATGATGTATGAGCATAGTGGGGAGCGTTGAGTCCTCCGTCTTTTAACCAGGCACTGACTAAAAGATGTAAGAACCTAAATACATTCATGTCTAAATCTCATTAAATCTGCTCATTATGTAAAAACAACAATTGTTGAAAACACAAGTCACAAAATCGACACAAATAAGTGATTATTAAAACACCCAGTGGTCACACAAATGGTTAAATTACACTAACGAGGCTGATCATTCAATACTATCCTTCTAATCTCTTAAAAACATTAATAGTCGAGCGTTCCCCTTTCATTTCACTTCATAAAAGGAAAAAGTTACATATTGCACAAACATGGAAATAATTTCATGGAAATTTCAACAAGCAATATTAGGAAAGCACGTGAAAGAAAAAGAGAACAACACAAAGTCCTTTTGGTGTTACAGTATGCATCGTTAAGTTGTCAACCTGTTAGTAAAGGTGTACATATCCTGCTGAGTGGATATTTACCAAAATATATCCACATCCAGACAGGGCAGAGAGTGAGTTTCTCCCAAGATAAAACTATCAAATCTGTCAGTCTGTGGTTTAAAAAAACCTCCATTACAGTGAATCTGTTTCCTTTAATTAGCGTTATGTCTAAGAACACTTTATTATTACAGTCGGTCATGAAATTATGAAATTAATCGTTATGGACATGAAAAAGTAAAGAGCGGTTGCTCTGTTAGAATGGGGTTTAAATGGATGAATAAATGACATTTGCATTGAGTAAAAACTGAGGTAGATTGAATTAGGAGACGCATTATTAAAACAAGGTGGTACACAGGTGACTATGCAAACAACAGCGTAAATGTTGAATTCTTGATAATATACAGTAGACCAGGGTTGGAAACAGCTCGGTGTTAAACAATGTTAAATTCCACTGCTTTACTTTACAAGGCGGCTGCGAGGAGGAAGCACTTTTCAGATTCAGAAAAACAGAATAACCAAAGTGGCTGAGGGGCTTTGGCTTCCACTAGCCGCTTTAAAAACATATTCATGCCTTGATTACAATGTCTCCCAACTTAAATTGAAAGTTTTATTGAATATTAACGACCAATTAATATCCAAATCATTCTCCCTCTGCCTAGAAATCCAACCACCGTAGATGGACCATGAACGCAGACTTAAAATCAAAACAAATGTCATCATATTAAGTGCCAACAAACAAGGACATGCACATTCATGCTTACAGACAAACTCCTAACTTGACATCACAATTGCAGTTTCAAGTGATTTACAGATTAACCTGATAAATTCTGGTCAGGGCATTTCAGTGCTTTTACATTTAACAAAAAAAAAAGCTGTGTTCCAGAGAACTATTAACATGATATAAGACAACATACACCTTCGACGGGCCCTCCACATGTAGAGCCAGTCTAGAGCAGTACGTCACATGTCGTGCTAGAGGGCAGCACAACGCTGCTGACAAAGCTTTCAGTGGTCTGTGTTTCTGCTGAATCATCACAGACAGGGAAGCAGTGATGACAGCAAGCTGAAATGTTCCGGCATTATTATTAAAAAACAAAAGAACTGTTTTTGCTTTGCAATCGTTGGAGATTAAGACAGACATTTAACAAAAGCTAAAAATTGAAATGAACTTTTGAGAACAAATAAAATAAGACACACACACACACACACAAAAACACACACTACGTTAATAAAATCAAATTAAAAGACTAAAACTCGTTTGGAACCAGTCTTTTCTTCTCTGTGCCACTTCAGTTACTAGTGATTTCCCTCTGGGCTGATTAGAATGACGATGGCTTGTGCTTCAAAGATTTTTGCGGATGTTTCCGTGTGGTGTAGCTATGCAAGATAAGGCAACTGTTGAGCGTCTAACTCAGAGCTCTGGGAGGAGGCGAGCGGGTTTCCCTGCGTGCGGTGGGGTTTGGGGCCAGGAGGGCCCGAGCCCTGCCTCAGTGGGCTTTGCCGTTGCTGCCGTTCATGTGGCTGGTGTTTGACTTGGACACCTCAGTGCTGTAGAGACAGTCCAGGAAACCTCGGGAGATCTCTGTCACCATGGATCTGTCCGGGATGGACTGGGCCATGCCGTAGATCGCTCCCTGAAACGGCAGGAAGACAAAGTGAGTTTACAAGCACTCAGTAATAAAATATATACACACACACTCATATCCTTGTACACTAATAGATTAGAAACACTCTGTGGTGTTCAGGAGATATCTGATGATTTACTTTTATTGGTGTAGCAAAGAGCTGCACAGTTAAGTGCAATATCCAAATTCCAAAAAGCTGCAATTATTTTGATAAAAAAGGTATAATGTGTGACAAACAGCTTTATAATGAAGTACTGTAGAGCTGCCAAGATGTTCTGACCTAAAAAACTTGTTCTCCAGATGTAAGAAAACATGTTTGTTTGGTACTGACAACAACAAATGTCACATCCTCATGATTTTAACATTAGTGAAAATGAAAACTGAGATATAAAAATTATCATTCCAGCACTAATTGTGAATCATATCGTAATATCTGTAAAAATATTAATATCGTGCAGCTCTAGTAAACACTTATAAACCTGCCTTGACTGCACTTGCATTTTCTCTGTATACATACACTGTAGATGTAGAGTAATTGTGTTCACACATAATGAATGAAAGTAAAAATTACATATATTTAGTTATTTATTGCATATTATTAATATTTTACTGTAATCTCAGGATGTATTTTTCAGACTTTGCTCTCTGTCAGGCCTTTTGTTTTCATATCTTGTATTCAAATGATGGTGATGCGTCATTTGCAGGTGTTCTCCTAAAAAACCTCGGCGGCTGGAGTTTCCACTACATTTAAAACTGACACACAGCACATGCAGTTTGTGCCAACTTAAGTTGATGTTGCGTGCAGCGAGGAAACAAAACGCCACGTGCACCAACAGCATGGTAAACAATAGAGACTGCCAAACACACACGGTTTTGTCATGCCTCAATACAAATGGATATTGTTTTGTCTCACACTTGGCTGCACTCTCCAGCTGTCCAAAGATGAAATTAAAGTTAACGATAGATGCAAAGACTGAATTTTACAGCATTTTAAAACAATTTTATTCTTTTTCTCTCTTTAAAGAACCTGCATGGTGTTATACAAGTACAGGTCTTTGTGGTAGAGATGCACAGATGGTAGCTAACCTGAGAGGCCACAGAGTCTGGCATGCTTTATGTTGGCAGACTCTGGTGCCTGGAGTTAAAAATAAGATAAGACCTTGTAGATGTTCCCAACTTTCATGATAAGACACAGTTTCACCTCCTCCCTCATGGTGTAATTCTGTATGACGTTGGTGGGACCTACTGTATAAATACGTTATTTTATTTTATTCTCCACAACCATTTGGCAACCCCAAAGTTGACAACCACCGCTCTTAAGGATGTGCTTATTAAATATAATACATTTGCTTCAAAAGCCGACGTGTTTAGTTCTGCAGTGTCTTTGATGGAACATAAAACTCGCTCAACATGATATGAAATGAACTCATAAATCACAGCAGATTCATATATAAATCAGGGTTCCCACGCTTCCTTTTCCAGGAGTTTTTCTTGACAATTCAGGACAGCACTTGCTCACAAACAGTCATATAATTTACTGGTAGCACTGACTTCAACTCCAGTTTTATGCCTCCTTTTTTATTTTTTAATGATGACGTTCGACACAGAAAAGATTGCTGCAAGTCTGTGACTGGAAAACTCAAACTTTCCAGATTTCCCAGGATGCGTGGGAACCCGATGAACGTATTAATTAAACATTGAGCTGTATATTCAGTGGGTGAATGTAACGTGAACAAGAGTGTAAGCAGAGCCAGCTCACCATTCCTGTGGTTTTCTCTTTGGGGTTCTTCATGATGATGGCAACCTGCTCTTTGACATCGCGGATGAAGTGATCAGCGACGCCCGGCTGTGTGTGCAGGACTGTGCAACAAATGTGGATGCTGCGAAAGAGAAGATCACACCCTCGTTAAAAAACACTCCTGATTTATCCCATTTATTTATAGAATGATTTATTATTTGTTTTGTTTTTATATGTACCTGGATGGGTACTGCAGCGTGTTCAGATTCCAGCCCTTTGACGTCAGCGCATTAGACAGACGGAAAATATCAAAAACATCTGAGCCTATTGCCACCACTGACACCTCCGGATCCCCGAACACAAACACACCTTTTATCTTGCGGATTCTGTTGATAAAAACACAACAACAACAAAAATGATTCAAATGTTGGAGGTGATAATAGGATAAATGATGTATGAAATCAGGGTATTTTTTTTTTTCTTACTCTGTTTTGATTTTGCGTGCTGTGCTGATGATCTTCTTGGTGGCATCGATGTATCCGTTCTCTCCCATGTGCATCATGGTCGCCCAGCAGGCGGCGATGATTCCTCCGGGCCTAGAGCCTGCGACAGAGGGCGAGGCGTAGATTCCCCCCTGCCAGTCTGGCGCTACAAAGTACTGGTAGTGACGGTACTTTTTATCGCTGTAGAGGATCACTGAGGAGCCTTTGGGGGCGTAACCATACTGCAGAGGAATGTAGTGACATACACAGTATGAAAATACTATAAAAAGTATGGCCTGGAGCCAATAAAGATCAAAGATTGGTCTTTAATTTTCATACTTATTGCATTTCACAATACAATGTTTATTTCCAGGATTTTTTATTAGATATCGTGACAGTTTTATAAACCTCCTTAGTGAGGAGAACAAAACAAGAACAAAGTAAGCTGATTTGATTGGAATAAGCAACCACTCCTTACCTTGTGGGTGTCTGCAGAGATGCTGGTAACACCTTTTAACCTGAAGTCAAATGGGGCAAGAGGGTAACCAGCCTTGGCCATGAAGACAATAAGAAAACCTCCCAGACAAGCATCCACATGCAGCGGCAGGTTGTAGCGTACAGCCAGCTGGAACACACCGAGGGAAAGTGTCAGACGTTTGACTTCTCTGTTTTAATTTCAGAACCGATTTAGTGGAAAAAAAATGTTTCACTTCTGACCTTTGCAACTTCCTCAACGGGATCCAAGATTCCATGTGGAAACTGTGGCGCCGAGCACACGAGCATGGCCGTGTTCTTGCTGATGGCTCTCTTCATAGCCTTGAAAGAGAAGCAACAATATGGGAATAAGTGACGTCTAAGAATAGCAGTCAATTAGCACATTCTGTCTGTGTGCGCCGTATCCTCACCTTCACGTCTACTTTCATAGTTTTCTTGTCAAGGGGAATGTGAACGAGCTTCATCCCAAAGTAATGTGCCGCCTTGTCGAAAGCTGCGTGGACGCTCACGGGCGCGAGGCTGCACAGAGTAGAAAGACATAAAAATTATGTTTCTGTGGAAAATACTGTAAAAAAAAAAGCCTTGAAATGGTCCCACTGTGTTGTATTTAAAAATATTTTAATGGCACGACTATAGTTCATGTTATTCAGGTTGACAAGCACGTTGTACAAGTTTAGTAATTCAGAATTTAAGAAAAAGAGCCTAAAAGAGGTGAAACAATAGACAGAGAGAGACACCTGAGATATGTGCTTTTCTCATCTCAAAATGAGATATTGTTTTATTTTGGTGTTCGAACTGGAGAAAGTTGGCTAAATAAATGGGATGACGGTAGCATCCCTGCATTCTTGCTGATTCAGCACAATGGTTACATTCTCCCAACCAGCTACAGTTACAGTCTGAGCTACAAATCTAACAAATCCACGGGACTCACTTCCCAGCAGACCTTGACATTTGTCTTCTGGGTATCGTCACAGATCTAAACCTTAGTAACGCTGTGTACAGAAATCAGAAGAGCCCGTACCAGATAATTCTGTACCACTAGAGAACATTACAGATTGGTTGAGAGACAAAAGTGAAACCTTTGACAAATTATGGCAACATTTTATTACTTATTATTATTATTTGATTGTATGAAAGACACTCCACTGTAAATGCTTCAGTATAAAAAGTCTGATTGGTCCCAACCAGTTACTGTTTAAATCTTTACACTGTCTTGTTTTTGATATTTAAAAAAGGAAGGAATTAAGAGGAAATGGCAAACTTGTGCAAGACCAGAAGAAAACAGAATGATTTATAAGAAGAAAACTGAGAATACATATCTAATGAAGATCCTCTTACATTTCAGGGTACTTGACACCGCGTTCATACGCCATGTCTCTGTAGGCCTTACAGGCCATCAGTATGCTCTCAGTTCCCCCCGAAGTAACCTGGACAGAAAAAGGCAGAATAAATTAAACCAATCGGTGCTCGCTGGCGTACACAATGCGTAAGTATGTGTTTGTGATAACTTACTGTCCCGCAGGAGTTCGGTCCACCGTGGAAAAGTGTGCACGCCATTCTAACAACCTCTGCCTCCATCTTTCTTACGCCAGGAAAGATGTCTGGGTGAAGTGGGTTGCTCCACGCAAAATCTCCATATACCTAGAAACAAAAGAATAGAGACGAACGAAGTAAAGATTTAAATAAACTCCTAAATGTGAGTTATGAGCAAACACTCAAAGCAGGGCGGCAGCAGTCTCGTGTAGAGGAACGAGACAAATAACATATAATCGAGTGCTGCTTATTGTAGCTAACACCAAAATGTATTCAAGTTCAACCTTGACTTTTGGTGCTTGGAAGAGATATACAAAGAAGCATATACCTTCACCAGGAGGTTGGTCAGTGATTTATCCCCCCAGTACACTGCACCCGAAACACACCCTTTCTCCCACTGCACCTCATCTGCAAAGACAAAATGTATTTTCAGTGTGACGGTTTCAGTAATGAACTCTTCAGGAAATGACCTGCTATATGAAACCACGATGCTCAGGAACGAACGATGACTTACTCAGAGTCTCGTACTCTCTGATTTTGTCCAGCACTTGGCTCTGAGAGAGACCTTTGGAGGGCAGCTGTTGAGTGTAGCTCATCCCTTCCTTCAGAGTGCACAGACTAGCAGACATGTCATCCAAAGCCTTGTTGAGCTGACTCTGGATCTGTCACAAAAGAAAGGACTTAGTTAATCAACAGTAAAGAAACATACTGTGAAGTCACTTTTGTGTCCACTGTGCCTTAAATGTATGCTAAAGCCTGAAATTGAGCTCCTCGTTGGTGACATAATGACCAGATGTAACCGACTGTTATCACCAGTGCATGATAGTAAGTGTGCCAAAGGTCTCTGACCCCCCGCCCCCCCCTCCTCTTGCATGCTATACTCAGTCATCCAAGAGTGACTCATAAGGGCTTCAGACGACAGTCAGTGCACATCTGCTGGGAAAAGAAGGAACAGATTCACCGCTGATACTTACTGCCCCCCCGACAAAGGGTATTTTTCTGATGAGTCGAAAGCACTGCTTCTTGATTCGGGATGGGAGACCTATTAAACAACAAAAAAAAAAAACAGACAAGGCAACAGCTGTGGTGAAAAGCTGGCACACGTTCAACCACAAACATTAAACAGCTGACTATGACCCATAATCACACGCCAAGACAGGACATGGCCGACGGAGACTGGAGCCGTAGTCACAAAGCTCTGCAGATATAGTTTTCTCTGATCTCAACTTTTGCTCTCTGAGAGCTGAAAGTAAGGCGGGTGGAGTTGACCTTGTTGCTGAGGAATTCAACCACTGATTGATTGATAGCAGATCTAGAAAGTCTTGTTGATTGAAGGTATTTCTAAGTCAAACATGCTGGAGAAACAAGTACTGAGCTGTGACTATGACTAAGGAGGTTCCCATCAGACAGCTATTCACCTAATTGCTCAGACCACATTTGGATACAGTAGATTAGCAGAGGTCAAACCTGACGTTAACAGTTCAGAGAATACGACTTATAGCATCGACTCAAAAAGCTTTGAGAACACGGCCTCGCCAATTGTAGGAGATTGTTGGCTCATTTCACGTGTTATCGTCTCTGATTTGGTCCCCCAGCTGGCCTGCTTTCAACCCCGTGTATCACGTGTAATGATTACTTTCTTGCTGGAAGAGGAAGCCTTTGATCCAGACTGCTCCCAGCGTGGTGATAACCGTGGCTCCGATGATCTGCCACGGCTCCAGGTCCACGCAGCGCGAGTTGACCTGCCGCCGGCCCTCCTCCAGGTACAGCAGGACCATCTCCTTATACACCTCCAAGGCACTCTGCACACAGAGACACATTGTGTCACACATTGTTGCTTTGGATTAGCGGTTACAACACAAGCATTTCTTTGCGTCTAACAACGTAGGATTTAGTGTGTTTATGTCAGACTTTACAGCACATATCATTTCTATTTAACAATAACACAGCGTGAAGCTTTCAGCGCTGCAAATATATCCATTAAAAATCTATTTCTTCTGCTTAATATGGGGAAGGTTTCAAATTGAGACACTGATTTCACTCACTGTGAGAGATTCAGGAGACAATATGCATGATTCACGTATGTGCTGATACACAGACGGACATTTAAGGAACACATTATCCCATAAAATACTGTAAGTAATGTCGTTATTCTTGATGTGCAGCTGTTCCTTAAGTTAGCCTAACTGCACGTCACCTCTCTGGTAAAACTACAGTCCTCGCATGCTGGATGAACTACTGAACTAGAATTGTTGAAAACCCAAGAGAGCCTTGACTTTGACAACACAAACACACTCCAACTTCACCTTTAAGAAAGAGTACATTTGTTAAACTTTAAAATAAACGTCCTCCAGCCCTTAAACATGCATCAGAATGTAGAAAACCCTTGTAAGAATAACTATTAACATGTGTATCAATGCGGGTTAGCAGTGAGTTGTATTTATATATCGCCTAATATCACAGATCATAAACTGTAAGTACTTACATTAGAAGACATTGTCAGACCTACAGAGATCAATCTCAACCCCCCTCACTGATTGTGTCAGCAGTTTGAAGCTCAGACAGTCGTCTCTCTTCCTCCTCCAGGTGAGAGTGGGTGAAAAGCTTTAAAGGTAAGTGGGTGACTATCACCAGACTCCTCCTCCTCCTCCTCCTCCTCCTCTTCCTCCTCCTCCTTTCTTAGCACCCAAACTGGCAAACAGCACATCCAGACACCAGACAGGAAGTTTTTCATTCAGTCCTGATCAGACAAGATACAGGAGGCTCGCCTTAAAACAGACTGAACTATTAATGGTAACTGTAACCAATAAAGCCTGAAATATTTGATCTGAAGTCTGAAAAGATTTGGTGGGAACTGGACATAAATTACGGCGATACGTGTTGTTTCATAAGAGCAGCAGCATTATCTTTTTATTATCTTTCCCCCGGCGGTGTTTTTATGACACAATAGCAGGCAGTCTGATCCACCTCCACCTCATCTCACAATCAGATAGAGCTTAAGGTTCAAAAGACAATATCTTAAGTCCCCGCGGCCTGAATTAAACATCCCATAATAGTACAATGAGGTAAGATCCCTTGTGCAACTTTTCCTGCCAGAGAGTTTCACAATCACTGGAAGCATTCTGCTAAAAGCGGAAAAAAAGTGTTTCAAGATGAGATGTATGAAGCAGTTTTTAGTGAATGGAGGTTCAGTGGAGGGCTGTCAGTGAGTCCACAAGAGTCCACAAGAGTCCGCAAGAGTCCGCCCCCCCTCCACCCCAAACTACAGCTGTCATAACCTGCCTGTCTTTGGATAATATGTGCTCATACAGGTTTTGGCGAGATCAGCTTGCACACAAGTCGGTGGGGAACCAAACAAAAAGAAAATGAGCCCTTTAAACGTGGGTCCCTGAAATGAGTTTTCGCGGGTAGTTTTGGCGAGTACAGGTTTCCCACCGGGGATCCGCTATCGCACAATCGGCATAAAGAAAACATTAAATGATGTTTATCCTATGGGGGGGGGTGGGGTGGGGGGGCAGTTGCACAAAGGCCCAGGCCTTCAGATACCAGACTCTTTTCTGTTATCCAACCACATTTTCTCTTGTCCTTATTATTCCTCCACCTACCAGTTCACCAAACAGAGTTCACACAAAGCCTCTGTAGCCGCATTGTGGTCCCCGAGTTCCATTGTTAAAAGGCAGTGGACGCCCATTCTTTTGCTCCCTCTCCGTACACATCTGATTATTCCTGTAAGGAGAGCTTTGTTTGTCTCAGAGGGGAGGTCATTGTTCTCAAAATGGAAATTGTACTGGGTGTGTGTGTGTGTGAGGTGGCTGCTTCCTGGATACATCAAGGGAAAACTGTGAGCCACACCAACATCACCCCTGGCTTTGTAGTCAGATCCAAAATCATTCAAGTGGAGGCCGAGGGAGGAAGAGGAGGGAGAGGGAGAAGAGGGGGGGTAATTACAGCTTGTGATGTCTGAGCCTTGTTCATAAAGGCCTCGGGGGCTTTATCGTGGTTTACTTCTTCTTTTTCCTTTTTCCCCCATTTGGACCGAGGAAGGAGTCCAAACTGGTGACAAGACAAGTTTGGAGGTTTTGATTTTTTTTTTCTGGCACCTGACAGCAGATATATGTGTGGTAATCAGACGTGCCTGCCCTCTAGTGTTCAATCCTCCTGTGTAATTATCAAAGCAAAAAACTTCATCCCTGCTCCTTTAAGAACAAAAAAAAAAAACCGCAACAATGCCGACAAATCTCAACAAGCTCTCCTTGGAGGCAGCGCTGTAAAGAGTGGTTGCTTTTGTTTTGAAACTTCGCTGCAGGGTTTCAATGTTTGAAAACAGGATCTCTTAATTTTTTACCCAGTGTGGCTCCACAAGAAACAATAAAGGAAGAAAGCGCTCATTAAATAACCTTATAAAAGAGTAATACGAAGCCATTTCCTTTTACTTGTCCTTGTGTCTGATACTGGTTTGTGAAGTGTCCCATTTCAAGAGAACCAGAGGAGAGAGGGTTAAAGTATCAAGTGCAGGTTTTTCCCCCTTTTAAAAAAGAAACCCAGCCTTTTTAATGTTTGATAGGCAAGCTGGAAACACACAGTTTGTTGGACCTTGTGAGCAATCCCTGTCGAGTCATTAGCCTCCTCCTCTTGCTCATAAACAAGTCTTCCGAGCGTCTTTACAAGCAGCCTCTGCCGCCCCCCATCCCCGTAGAAAAACACAGCAACGTTTAAATGTGGAGAATATATATAATATATATAATAATTTAAAGTTAAGCGACACCTGTACCCAGTAATCCACTGTTTGTCGAGGCAAACTTCTCACCGAAACCCCCCGCTTTCCTGTTGTTGTTTGTTGTTGTTGTTGTTGTCCTGCTCCTCGGTAAAAGTCACCTCCCCCCAGCAGTCTGTCCTCTTTCAATCTACAATGACTACTATCAAACAACAGCGAGCCTAAGCCGATTCAGGAAGTTAGCGACCGGTTTTTGAGCATGCGCAGATTTGAACAAATGCTGTGGGTTAGGTCTAATCGCGTTGTGAAGCTGACGCTCGTGGTGTAAGATCTACTGTTTTGAGGAAGCGGCGCGACCGCACGACCTGACGCCAACGCAACCCGGCGGTGAGCGATAGACCGGATTGGTGCCGTTTTGAATGCTCTTTTTGTAAAGTCGCAAATAGCTTAATAATGAAAATAATAATATAATAATAAATAATAATAATAATTAATAATAATAGTCATAATAATAATAATAATAATAATAATGATTAAATTGATAATGAAATATAATGATAATAAATAATAATATAATAATAGTAATAGTAATAATAATAATGATAAATGATAATGATTAATGATAATGATAATAATAATATAGATAATAATGATAATAATAATGATAATAATAATAATAATAATATAGATAATAATGATAATGATAATGATAATGATAATGATAATAATAATATAGATAATAATGATAATAATAATGATAATAATAATAATAATAATATAGATAATAATAATAATAATATAGATAATAATGATAATGATAATGATAATAATAGTAATAATAATTAGTTAATATAATTATAATTATAATTATTATTATTACTATAGCAGCAATCAAAAATAAGATTAAAAGTACAGGAATAATATTTTTATTATAATTATTATTATAAAATGAATAATACAACATAACTATGGGCCATAGCTAACCCAATAAAGTTTAACCAGACAGAAAACAATGTATTTAGTTTATATATTTATTTATAATGGCAGGGGCGGATCTCGAGAAATGTTCATGGGGTGGCCAGAGGAGAGACTTTAAGAGGTGGCAGAAATAAATACTTATTTAATCACAGACAAAGAAGATATTTGAAGATATTTGAACTTAAAAACATGACATTATAGTGGCACATTAGTTAAGCATTGAACTGATACATCTAAACGTGCCGTTATACATCAATAAGTTGTTTTATTAATTGTTTTTCATTGAACTTGAACCTATTGTTTAGTCTAAAATGTGTCCATAACAGATCATTAAATCAATTTCAATTTTAACACTTTATTTTTTTAATATATATTATATGTTAAATTTGACCGCATTTGACACCAAACTTGGGTTAATAGGTATTTTTAAAGGGGTGGGCCACTGCCACCCCTTAGACCACCCCCCTAGATCCGCCCCTGTATAATGGTTCATTATGTTCTCTGTAATCTTTATTTCTCAACATGAAGGTCTTTGTCCTGCCAACATCAACATTGACGTCTCACGAGCGAAGAAAAACAAGACAATTACGCAATCAGCTTTTTAAAACAGTTTATTTATCCCAGGAAGTAGAAGGTATTCACTGGCCTAACTCAGTTTTTTGGAACCAGAATATAAATGAGGCTACCAAAGATTGCAAAACCCCCCACCAATTCTCAAAGAAAAAAAAAATACAGAAGAATGTGTCCTTGAAGGGAGCAGAGACTTTGAGTATAACAATTATAAGATAATGTTCATGAATAACAAAACAAAACCATTCTGTGGCAGCCGTATTCACAACACGTTCACCTTTATTCAACTTAGAGTTTCCATATTTCCAACATTACACAAAGGCATCATTTGGTGCTGCTTTTGTAACGTGAACTGTTGTGTTGTATTTTAGGAGTGAGAACAGCGCCTCAGAGCAGCCGAGCACTGACACTGCAACAACAACACGATGAACACGCTGCAGATACTAATCTCATCAGTAGCTCAGATAGACTGCTTTATTTAGAAGGGGAATGTTTTTTTACTTTAATATCAATGATGCAGCTGGACTCATAAAGTGAACATGTGGCTATAAAAAGAATAACAAAGGAACTATTGTACTACTAAAATAATGATTTCCGATGACTGAGCCAACGTTTGTGAAACAATAACTCAGTGAGCTCAGCCTGTGCGCAGGGTGGCTGCTGATGTTTATCACTGATGTATGTTTGTAGTGCTGGTTATAGTCCACAGTGGTTAAACTGGATAGTTTGTACATCGTGTTTTCATCGCAGCACCACTGAGCTCCATGTGCACATTTGTTACAATTAACACAATTATAGACTTTATTTGTTACATAATTTTCTATAAATAAGTAATTTAGGCTCATTACTTGGGAACTGCTATCATACTTCAGTGGGCTGACAATAAACATCCTGTTGATTTCACTGTTAATGTTGATGTAGAGTTGTGACATTAAATTCAATAATTAGTCCCTATAAAGTATCTTTACTAGAAATTAATATTTGTTTATGATCGATTAAAACATAAAATAAGATATTGTGATAAAATGTACCAAATATTATCTGCGGATTTGGCAACAATTATCAAAAGATCTCCTGGTATATGAGCATTAAAAAAAATTACAAATTTAATATATTAAATCTTTAATGTCTAACTTATAAATGTATACATGAGCGAAGTCTTAATGTTTAATTTCTTATGAGGATTTCATCCATTAGTCGAAACCCCTCATTTGTTCTTTCTATCCACAAAGAGCCACTAATGAACACAAGGTTTAACATTCTAAACAAGCTATCGGAGGAAAGAAAAAAACAATCTGCATTAGTTGAGGAGGTGAAAGGAGACGACTTGCAGCCACAGCTCTTTCTTACTTAAAATCTCCAATCATTACAGAAATACAAATTGCCTCCATAGGACAGCTATTCCACTATAATTGGTGTACACTGCCTTCAAAAGCTGAGGTGAGAGGTACAATGCATTGCTTGTGAAAGGAAACTCCAAAGCACATTAAAAGTGAATTACTTCTTGTGTAAAGTGTGTTCGGGGTCATTCTGGTCACGACGCGCGCACCTCTCCAAAAGCGCACAAGTCTCCAAAGGCGCACTCCATAGTTTCTAAAAGGCAGTCACATTGTTGAGGGGTTCCACAAGAGGTGTACATATGGCATCCGGGTTGCAATTAAATGTTTTTAAGATGTTTTTCCTTTCTTGAAGAAGTTTCCTCTTTCTTTTTTTCTCTCCCGGCAGCTCTTTGGCAGAAAGAAGAGGAGGAGGGGTGCACATTGAATGGCTTCGCTGCTAGTTTGGGATGACAACAATCTGGTCAGCGAGTTGTTGGACTTTGATTGCCCCCCTCAAAACGTCCTTCAAACAAAAAGCTGAGGACGAAAATAAAGCCCCACCTGGTACCTCTGTTTGCTAAAATAATAATAAATAGATTTCGTTTAATAAATAAGCAAAGGAGATTGTAAAGTGAAGTAGTAGAGGAAGTATTAATCAGGAGCATCGGGCAGGTATCACCTGCTCTGGAGCTTGCTCAGTTTATTGTTAAATATTGTTAAATCACTTTTCGTACCAAGTCTGCTCCGATATCTGTTATTTCCACAGCAACTGGGCGCTTATGTTTGCCCATACTTTGCATAACAAGCAGGACACTACAGCACACTGATAAAAATCAAGGAGAGAGACTGACAACTCCAAACCCACACCTGTCCATGATATCCGAATATGGATTTGGCATCAATGATTATTTGTAAAGTGGTAATATTCAGTTTACTTTAGATTTTTCGTGCCTTTTATAACAGCAAGGCACCATCTCGTATCTCACTAGTGTATTTGTCTAGTTTATTGAAAGCATATGGTTATCAGACTGTTCCCAAAACACATATTTAGACAGAAAGTTAAGGAGAGCTTTTTGTGATCCTTTGTTGGCAATTGTAAATCATGTTTGAGCTCTGCCACACTCCCCCTCTCCCCCTCACCAGAGCTGAGACGTGTCTGCATGTTGTTGACATATTTTACTAATCGTTAACTCTCTAAAAGTAAAGTTATATTATAAAAATGTAATGCGCCACTGAGTTGTGGCGATAGTGGACATGTTTTGGAGATGTCATAGCGCACACATATAGGCTCACACTACAGAAGAAATCGAGCTTTTATTGTTGTGACACACAACAAAAACCTTTGTACTATCGGTTCAGACAACAGGTTTCAACCTCCCAAATACTCTTTGTTGGGGGGGCCCATGCGTAATTGCCTTTGTCCAACCACCGGAGCTTTGCGCTCTAACGCATTAAGCAAATGTTTGTCCAAATGTATGTGGCATTAAAAATAACATTTTCTTTGATATAGATCAGATTTTCTGAGCTAACAAAGAGTTGTTACTCTTTAAAATAACTTTTGGCAACACTCAAGTAAGGACCAACTTTCAGCTGCTTAAAGTTCTTTAATGCCAACCATATCTGATCATGTGATGTGCGCACATCTAAAATACGCAACAGTATATTTAATAATAAAGAACTTATTTGGAAACAATCGCCGGGATGCTTTTGTTTTTCCTCAGTTTTCAGCACTGTGGTGAACTTGTAGTTGATTTTTTGAAGCCTGTTTACTACATTACCACAACCACGATGAACCCTGTGTGTGCCAATATTTCTAGTGCGTAAAATGTGCCACTACAAGTAGCCTTAAGGGTGGAGATTTGATAACAGTTGCAAAAACAAACTCACACTTAAGGCAAAAAATAATCCTGGAAATAAATCAAATGATATGATGAATATTTTCTATGATTCAATTTCCTTTGCGCATAAAAATACGGCAACCAGCCTAATTTAAAGACCTTGTCAGCATCTCTTTATTAACACAGAGACATTGTTACTGATGACAGAAGTACTGACTGGGTCTTCAGAGCTTCCAGTGGAGCTGAACTCTTACCAGCAACACTCGTGTACAAGATACTTCTTATAGAGTTTGTTTGTGGTTGAAGAACTGAAAAAGGTTGTGAGTGATCATCTGAAGAATGTCCTCACTGAACTAAAGATAAAAGCTCCCACGGTGCTTTCA